CTCGAAACTACATTTGGCAAAAAACAAAAACAAACAAAAATTATTTATTCATCAACAAGTTCGGATAACTCATCCTGTTATGTTATGATAATTATAAATTGTTAAATTAGTGCAAACGTACCATTTTACTTCTTGTCAGCCGTCAGGCTTTCGTAAAACTCGACATCACGTCACGCCTCGTCACCGCGCGAGAAAACAGGAGGGGGGGGGGGGACAGTGTCGATTCCCAAAACATCACTTCGTCGATTCAAAAGCTTCTATAATGGAGAATCTACTCCAAACTACTGAAGTCACTGTAAACCAAGGCATGTCGTTCCGTGCGTGACATGACTAATATTGGGAGAATTTCCTCATTACTAAACTATTATAAGAACCATAACACTAACAGATTTTGTTCAATTCGGTTCTCCAAGAAGATTCATTCACTGATTCATTCGGTGGTTCTTTCTGTAGATTACAGCACCAGTAGTGCAACCAGTGAGCGAATATTAAATGAGTGAGTTTTTAGAATTAATTCAACAGGTTCGTTCCAAACGCACATCACATTTACAGAATAATTTAAAAGACATATTAGGACGGTAATAATTAGCCTACTTGAGTTGACTGATCATAGTTACTTGTGTTTTTAAACAACAAGGAATATGTGAACACAGGGGGGGGGCATTTAAAACACTACAAAGATTACAACGTTTATTCATTTTAAAATGCTTACATAAAATAGAATAAAATAGATTTTTTCCCCAATATGTCTAACAAGATACCTTGACATTTCCTATCAATAGTGTAAATGATTCACTGCATTGATTATTATAATACACTTTTTTTCTTAAGAATCAATAAAATCATTATGGCATTTACTCCAGTGCGAGGTCCCATGAGATTGATGGTGCGGAATCCTTTTATTATATAAATAACCCGTTGGCGCTACAAAGAATCTTTTGTGCAATGAAAAGGTTTCATTGATGCTAAAGGTTCTTCATCATATATCCCAACAATGAACCATTTAAGAGCCTTTATTTTAAAGAGTGTAGGCCTAATACTTATCCATCTGAGGTAAAAACACAAGGTTGGTTTTCCCGGTCAGAGTTTGACTTCTTGTATTGTCAGCATCCGATTAGGCCTGTATTTCACACTTAAGGTTAATTGATCCACCAGGCGTCCAATTGTGGCTAAAACTATTCTCTTTTATCTCCCTTATCCCAGTATGTTGATTTTTTTACTAAATCGTTTGTTCACTTGTACTATCTCATATTAAAGATTCTGATTTCATCAATAACATTTCCGTGTTACATGATTTACCTGAAACTTCTTTATTATTAACTTTGGATATGACGAGTCTATAACATCTCACATGAGAAAGGGCTTATAATAATGTGATTTTACCTCAGTAACTGTAGCTCGATCCTGTCAGTAAACTGACCACATCACTTACCGTATTTTAACCATAAACATAGTTTTACTGTGGTATTTGTTATAACACAGTAACAACATTTACCATGCATTTACCAACATAACCATGGTTTTACTGTGGTGTTAGTTAATGCACACAACACTTACCATGGTTTTACCACAAATAAATGTTCAAAGAATGTTATTTTGTGAGGAAAAATAAGGTTAAGTTTGTAACATTTAACATTCTAATCACGACAATAGAACTGGACATTTTCATGTTTTCTTTTTAGTCTTGTGGAACCCATAGGCTATTTAAAAATATAACCAATTTAAACTGTCTTAGATTCACCAGGGGAAAATAGTTAAAACAAAAATGACAAGAAAATAATATGATAAGACTTAACCAACTAACAGTGAACGATCTCTTAAGTTTCTCTCAAAGTTATGAACAAACATTATTAATGTTAACATAACGTTCGTTCAAAGTTCTCTGGTCTTTAATAACGTTCTCAAAAACGTAAAAACATTATTTATACATAATTCATGAAGCGTTTATTCTGAGACATTTTAGTTAAGATTTAATTTGTTAAAATGTTTTTAAATGTTACTCCTTGTTTCAGAACGGTCAGAAAACATTAAAAAGTAACGTTCCCATAACGTTTGAAAAATTATACAATGGAATGTTCCATTAACGTTCATATAACCAAGATTTTTTTTTTTTGAACATTCAGGGAACATTCAGAATAACTTTTGCAAACTGTTCTTAGAACATATTTTTGTCATAGTTTGTTTATCAGAGCTGGTAATGTTTGTGAGTGCCATGGACTTGAAGTGGCCTTGGTCTGAAATGCCCCAGCATGCAGTGCTTATTGAGCAAATCCACGTTTTAAAGCTTTGGTCTGTGATTTGCTGACCAGCTGCTGAGTTGAGCTTTTATGCTGGGAGCCAGGGGCCGTTTCACCGCTGATGACACTATGGAGAGGAACAATACGCTCACGTGCACTAATGCCTGCGCTCAGAGAATGGGAGGTGAAGCGCAGATGAGAAGCTGCTCTCGCTGTCATCACAGTCTCTTTAATACGCCTACCGCTATAATGCTTAGCCAACAATATATTTTTTATCCATAATTCATTCTTAATAAAAGGTTCCAGTATATATAAGCTCCAGACATTTTTTCTACTACTGAGACTGTATATCACAGAATATCATTTGCTAGATCACTTAAATTTCTGTATAGTTTTACTTTTTGGATATATTATGATTTATTATTTACTGAATGTATGTTATTAATAAAGTCCAGTGTGAGCAAGCGCACCTTTCATCAGTTTTGCTGGAAAAGGTCTTTGCATGAGCTTGCGTTTCTAGTAGTCTCATGCATTAGCACGAATATATTCATTAAAGGGGACCTATTATTCAAAATTCACTTTTAAATGGTGTTTGAACATAAATGTGTGTTGGCAGTGTGTGTACACAACCACCATATGATGATAAAAATACATCCACTCCTCTTTTTAATCATCATTAATCATAAACAGTGTCTGAGAAGAACAAGCCGTTTGCAGATTGTAGCTTTTGTGGCCCCGCCCACAACTGCTGATGGACTCCACCCTATTAGCATAGGCCCCGCCCACAACTGCTGCTGGACTCCACCCTATTAGCATAGGCCCTGCCCACAACAACTGATGGATTCCACCCTATTAGCATAGGCCCCACCCACAACTGCTGATTGACTCCACCCTATTAGCATAGGCCCCGCCCACAACTGCTGATGGACTCCACCCTATTAGCATAAGCCCCGCCAACAACTGCTGACAGACTCCACCCTATTAGCATAGGCCACACCCACAACTGCGGACAGACTCCACCCTATTAGCATAGGCCACACCCATAACTGCTGACATACTCCACCCTATTAGCATAGGCCCCGCCCACAACTGCTAACAGACTCCAACCTATTAGCACAGGCCCCGACCACAACTGCTGATGGACTCCACCCTATTAGCACAGGCCCTGCCCACAACTGCTGATGGACTCCACCCTATTAGCATAAGCCCCGCCCACAACTGCTGACAGATTCCACCCTATTAGCATAGGCCACACCCACAACTGCGGACAGACTCCACCCTATTAGCATAGGCCACACCCATAACTGCTGACATACTCCACCCTATTAGCATAGGCCCCGCCCACAACTGCTGATTGACTCCACCCTATTAGCATAGGCCCCGCCCACAACTGCGGACAGACTCCACCCTATTAGCATAGGCCACACCCACAACTGCTGACAGACTCCACCCTATTAGCATAGGCCCCGCCCACAACTGCTGATGGACTACACCCTATTAGCACAGGCCCCGCCCAAAACTGCTGACAGACTCCACCCTATTAGCATAGGCCCCGCCCACAACTGCTGACGGACTCCACCCTATTAGCATAGGCCACACCCACAACTGCTGACAGACTTCACCCTATTAGCACAGGCCCCGCCCACAACTGCTGACGGACTCCACCCTATTAGCATAGGCCCCGCCCACAACTGCTGATGGACTACACCCTATTAGCACAGGCCCCGCCCACAACTGCTGACGGACTCCACCCTATTAGCATAGGCCCCGCCCACAACTGCTGACGGACTCCACCCTATTAGCATAGGCCACACCCACAACTGCTGACAGACTTCACCCTATTAGCATAGGCCACACCCATAACTGCTGACGGATGCAATGTTACATAAGCGTGAGATTATGATGAAAACCAAACAGAAGTTTTAGTTTTTGGCAGAGTACCCGAGGCACTGGTCTTCTCTCCTCTATTGTGTCGTGTCCGAGTGAAGCGCTTCTGGAGCAAGAACACATGTGGGCGGGGCTTGATTGTGTCCGTGGGGAATTGATTGGATGGTTGTGGTTTGCTATTGGCTGATCTCATGTGAGTGACAGGTTATAGCCCCGCCCTAGCGCCAGTAAACACGTCATAAAGAGAAGGCTGCATCCAACATCACATACTTCCCTACTATACACACATTATGAATATAAAAAGATTAGTATGTCTATTCATAAAACACTAGATAACCCCCCCAATATTTATACCCATGATCACATGAAAAATATGCAGAACAATTTTTTTTAACTATATTATAAATCAAATCCCCCCCCCCCCCAATGTTCAAACCAAATCTACGCCCTTGCATACTACACATATTCATATAGAACATAAAAAAGAACGGTTAATTGTGATTTCATGGGTAGGGTTGAATAAAATCGTGGTGATCATAATTAGGGGGTATTATCAGCATTATTAGGCTTTTTTTAACCTAAAGGAACGTGATTGCCAAGATGGATGGACACAGCACCAAATAACATGAACAATGCACAAATACTTTCAGGTCAGATCAGATAACTGTCGTCTTATTGTGTAAAAATGTTTTCTGAAAGAACAAAAAAAATAATGAAACATAAGAGGAACGAGTTTTTATTATTTTATTCTTAAATATGACAAATAAAAAAAAAAAGCTTTAAATTTCAATTTCATTTAATTCTCTCCTTTTAAATGCAGGACAGTCACGTGGTGTCGCGGCCTAGCGTTGCCACGCCCCGCTACGCGTGCGTACGTGCGCGCTCACGTACAACGCGTGGTTCTTTCACATTGCCGTAAGTAGGGAAGACTAGTCCGTCGTTTTAAAGGTTCCAGGGGTTCTTTTACATGTTTTAATTGAGATTAGCCACTCTGCGTCTTAGACTGAAGCCTGTTTGGTCTAGGGGTGGAGTGGAGAGTGCGAGAGGCTCCCGCTGGAAGCACACACATCGTTCGCTGATCATTGCGGTGGATTTGAGGGGTGTTTGTTAGAGGAGAAATGGCCACTGAGGTGGAGACTCTCCTGCCGAACAACTCGCTGCTCAAGCCGGAGGAGCTCGAGCACCAGGCCGGCGGAGACGGAGGGTTTGTGGGGAAGGAGCAGAGCCTGAAACGGGCGAAGGACGAGAGCAACAGCCAGGCGAAGGAGAACCTGGAGCAGGAGAGCGAAGACGACGCGTGTAAGACGGAGTTCACCGAGGCTCCGCCGCCCAAGGTGAACCCGTGGACGAAGAAGATGAGCGGCGTCAACGGACAAGCGCTGCACGGTCTGTACCAGTGTGTGTGTGTGTGTGTGTGTGTGTGTGTGGTTTAACACAACAAACCGTTGGCAACGAGCGAGTTCATCATCATGAGGCACATCTATGAGGGAACATGTTGAGTAATAACGTTAACAGAACGGTCTGGCTCGAAACGTTAGCATTTTTATACAACCTCATGTGTCCGTTAATAACGTTTCAGTTGGACTTTTATCTAACGGTTTTTTTTTAATGTTGCCACTTGTTTCAGAACGTGAAAATGTAACATTCCCACAATAGAACGTTCCCCCAAAACACTCAGAAATAACGTGTTCATTAGTGGATGGGAAGGTGTTTTTGTCCGCTGGGATGTCAAATGATGTTTATCGCGTTTCTCACACACATGACAGCAGATTGTGTAGGCACTGCTAGGCCTCGAATCTCTTGCAGGACTCATACAATCAACTCGTACATGAGTGCATTGATATGATGCCGAACAAACCATATTTATGTAAATTATAGTCGCAGATGAGACAGCAAAATGTCTTGATGTTGTTCGCCTTCATCGCTTTTCTGAACAAATGGCTATCGGGTTAGCATTAGCATTAGCGGCCTATGGGGATCGAGCTCGTCTGACAGGCCGGGGCTGGTGCCGCTTTACTGTAACGTTACATCAGCTGCAAATAAAATCACGATTATTTATCGTGTTACGTGATGTTGTCAGGCTAGATGAGATGCCTTTGTTTACAGTGTTATATTACAATCGCTGAACGTGTGATTATCCGCTTTATGTTATGGCACGACACGTGTGAGATCCACGTGTTTGTCACGAACTCGCTCGGATTCGCGTGAAAGCGTCTTTAAGCGCATATCTGGTGAAATGGTGTGTTTTTTGAACGGCGCTCGTGACAGTGCGTCTCTCTCGTGGTGTTTAATGCACGTGCGCGCGCCAGTCCTGCTGTTAGCCGTTAGCAGTTAGCTTCCGATCACTCCTCTTTTATTAATATTCATATGCTCGATTGACGCATGGATGGGATCGCACGCATGGCATCGTCGCACTGCTTCATTTCATCTGCAGAAATGCTGTAACGAAGGGCTCGTGGAGCTGCTATCAATCCCAGAGTTCCCCTGGATGAGGGCAACGTGGTTTGTGCCATGTGATCACGTGCGGACAGAAGCGAGTCACTGCTCCGGATCGCTGTGTGTGTGTGTGTGTGTGTGGGCTTCCCGAGGTAATGCGGATGGGTAATTAGCGAAGGAAGGCCGACTGATCAATGTTGCTTTAGACTGAGAATGCGTTGAGTGACGTCATGACAGCTGATTACTACTGTTTTCCGTTTAGAGAAGATCAATCCACTGAGAGCCAGTGCTTCACATGCTGAGCGATTGTGGGGAGAATTCAGTCAATTGAGTTGATATGCATGAATTGAATGAATATATATATATATATATATATATATATATATATATATATATATATATTAGGGGTGTAGCGATCCCCTCATGTCACGAACTCACGATTCGATACATATCACGATACGATATTACTGCGATACTGCACGACATATGGTAAAAGGTTAACAAAAAATGTCCTGTTGATTAAAACGCTAAATTTGGTGTTACATTGTGTGTGTAAAGAAGAATAGACTTGGACTTGGTGCTGAAACCCAAAGCACAGGACAATAGAGACACCAGAATAACAATATTCACGATTCTGAAGATGAAAATACTGAATTATTTCAGACGAATATGCTTGATCTCTGTCACTGACTAGATATATTTAAAATAATGTAGCCCACCTTTTACACTAATATTCCCCCGTTGCATTATTATGCATTATATATAGTGGTTTAATGTAGTACTGACACTAAAACTCTGAAAACTTGAATTTTTTCCTCACATAGTAATTTTTATTTTGGGTGAACTATCTATGATGCATATTGTTGCATTTTTGTATTGCGATATTGTTACACCCCTAATATATATATATATATATATATATGTATTTTTATATAGGGGCTTTTTGCTTTTATATATCGGTCCCCACACAATTCATTAAAAGCTAAATATATATTAATATGCAACTTTTTTAAAGTCCCTGTAAAGTCAAAATTAAGTATGTGTTTTGAGTTTGTCACACCACAGAAAAATGTGTTATTAGTCACCCAGCCAAATTTGAATGATAAAAAAAGTCAGCAAGTACATAAAATAAGCTATCAAAATCTTGAAAAAATGAGCAGTAATCTCTGCTCTCAAACGCTGGGGGCGTGTCCGCTGGCTGCGCTGAAACCACGCCCACTCGCGGGAAAGCTGCCGTCGACTCGCCACACTCAACTAACTCTACAGCCGGAATAGATGCTCGCACGGTGGGCACGCACTGCCGATGATGGCACCAGTTGTCGGCGCGACGGGAGGATGAAGGCTGAGGCGGGAGTCTGTTCGGCCCCATTCACCAGTAACAGCGGATTATCAGTGAATCCCAGACAGTTATCTCCGACGAAAGTTTATAAAACTATCCCGTGTAAAATGATCACTTACAGAGGCGGGTTTTGGCGGTGATCCTCAGCTCTCCATCAAGGTTGGCTCTTCACAAAATTAATCCACTTCTTCTTGATGTAATCGTTTTTCGGAAATTTAAACAAGGACACCGATCTGTTTTGTACGTGATCCGGTGATCGCATCCAGGTAGTACGCATTTCCGTGACGAAGGCATAGCTAGTAGCTAGCAATCTGTAGGCTGTGTTACTAATAGTACTGACAGTAACTCGCGATTGAGCGGCACACTGATGTGAATCTGCTCTATAATATTGTTAGGAGCGGCCAGCCTCAGGGGCTCCAGTGCGTCATCAAGTAGGGGCGTGTCCAGGAGCTCAAGGGCTCCAGTGCGTCATCGAGCCCTGTTTTAGCCCCGCCCATAAAATCCGTAAAATAGCAATGGTGAAAAACTGTTTAACGGTCTAACTCCACAATTCAGTGCTTCACAGTTCACAGTCTTTGTAATATGTTTTAGCAATACATTTCTAACATTTATAAAGTGTTTAGAATTTTTTTTTGAAATTGCCTTTACAGGGACTTTAAGCTAAATTACTGAATGCCATTCTTCCGCTAGAAAATATTCCCTGACGAAGACCGTAAACGGCATCAGAATGTTAAATTAAAGCAGAGATTGGATCTTTCCGCGCGCGCGGGTGTGTGTTTGCTAGGGTTGGAGATCGCTTGAATCTTAACGATTCCTATTCGTATCAATTCCTCATTTCGATTCCAATAAGGTATAAAAAAATAAAAAACTTAGATATCTGAATATCATGAACACAGGGAACGTTTGCCTGTAGAAAAACAACTAGCTGAACTAATATACATTTCAATCATTATTAAAGACAAGTAAACATTGCTAAAAAAAAATAGCAATTGCAACAGACACATCTGAACACAAGATATGATTGAAATAAACTGTGTTCAGCTGTTCAGGTACAGAAACTGTAATAAAATGTAAAATATCACTGCACATTATAAATATAATATACATTACAGATTTAGTTACAAAAGTTATTCAGTGAAGAGCGAGTGAGTGTTCTGTTGTGTGATTAGTGTTATTATAGAGACGGGGGAATATGAGCGCTGTCCCTTTAAGAACACACACGAGCACAGAGAACAGCGCACCAGTCGTCTTGTGCTTTAATGGGTTAAAGTCAGTTAAAATGCTCAGAGGAATCGAAAATTTTTTTTTATAACAAGTATTCGATTACAGAATTGTAATAAATTTTCGATTCCCAACCCTACTCTCGGGAAAGTATTCTTAGCTGGAAACTGTGGGTGCTCGAACATGACGCCAGCAGGGGTCACGCACACTTCAGGACATCAGAATGCATATTGTGCTAAACTCACAGCTGAAGACCTTGTGGTGTTCAGTGACGTGTACATTATGAAACTGATGGACTTCCAGACTTTAGGTAATGAATGGGAAACTGTAGCAATAGGCCGTTCTCTGAGAGGACTGAGTTCAGAGCACACGTGTGTGTGTGTGTGTGTGTGTGTGTGTGTGTGTGTGTGTGTGTGTGTGTGTGTGTGTGTGTGTGTGTGTGTGTGTGTGTGTGTGTGTGTGTGTGTGTGTGTGTGTGTGTGTGTGTGTGTGTGTGTGTGTGTGTGTGTGTGTGTCTGCTGACACTCTTACAGCTGGAACAGACTCAAATCACACAAAGCAAGTAATCCTGCTCACACAAACAGCTTATGACCCAAATGAACATTCTTGGTCAAATATTATACTAGTATTTGTTTTTGAATGTCTCTGAATGTCATAATCCTAGACAGAACTTCATAAAGTTATATATTGAAGCTTGTTTCAGGTCTCTAACCTTGTTTCATAGAGAGCTAGGCTACTTTTTAAAAATGTTATACAATACTTAAAAAATGTTATACAATACTTAAATCTCTTAATGTAAACCGAATCAGAGAATACAGTTCTTTATGGAAAACATTACTTTGCATTTTAGACTGTGGTTGTAACGATAGATGTGTTTATAGATCATGGTTATTACGATATTGTTAAAATGTGCTGGAAATGTTCAAAAAGTTCAAACCGCTTTGCTTGGCACATTAATTCTTAACTCCAGATGCTGTAGTGCAGTGGTTTGACCGCAGTGCCGGTCCTGTGTCTGCTCTACACACTCCTGTGTGACTCGACAGAAAGCTGGCATCATTTGGATGAAATATGTTATTGTACGTTTTCATCAGAGAATATATTCTGAGAAAATCATCTGCTGAAAGTGTGACCCGGATCACATGCGTTCTAAACACTGTTCACTAAAACATTTCGCCGATTGGTGTTTTTAATGTGGCGTTTGCATCACAGGAGCGTCTGTGAGCCGAGCACAGGTGTGTGTGTTTGCACCCGGCGTACTTCTAAACCTAGGTGTGTGTTGCTCTCCTCACCCGTCCTGGAGCATGTGTGAAGCTAGCAGAGTGCTCTTTATGATGGTACCTCGCTTAAAGACTTTAGCAAGATTACGCCTGAAAAGGTTTTGGATTTTTTATCATATGTTAAAGGCACAATATGTAGGGTTTTTTCACCACAAGAGGGCGCAGTTTCCAACAATAACACAGGCGTAGGTTGATGACGCAGTGATGAGCAGAATGATGGGACCTACCGCGAGTGCTGGATTACTCACACGGGTCAGTTTATTAGACGAATTAAACTTGAGGTAACGCAGCGCTGCTTCACTCGGTCTAACGTTACACTATCACACTAAACGGCATTTAAATGTGTGTTGAAAGTTATAATGTTATACTACGTGTTAGTTCGTTTGCTATACGAAACTAGCAGTAAGCTAGATCAACATTAGAATAATATACTGACCATATTCTAACATTTCATCATTTTGAGCTAACGTTATATAACATTGATTTGTTTTATGTACATTTGCTCACCTGTCTAATAAAGCTGTCGTGACTCGTGAAGCTCTGTCGAGTCCAAGTTAGCCGCGGACGCTAGCTCTCGGCATCTCACAAACGCCACGCTGATATTGATCCTCATTTTAGTTCTCCTTGTTTGTCCCAAAGTCTGCTTGCCATGGTCTATGTTTGAAAGAAACAAGAACTGCGTGCCGCTAAACGTTACGCACTGCGCAGTTGTCCGCGTCTGTCGCCATGGTTACGTCATGGCTATGGCAGTACGAGCGGAAACCGAGGATAGCGGATATTGCGTCATTTGACAGGCGACATTTTTTTCCGGGACGGCCACTTATTTAAAATTGGAATTTCTCTGAAATAAAAAATCTTTGGAGACTTTTGGGATATTGTAAGTACACCACTGCAGGATATATATCACACTGTGCAAGTGATTTTTGGATATTTTATTACAAAATTCTTACATATTGTACCTTTAACTTAAAAATCTTTTTTTGTTTTTTATTGTATTTACATGATATTTGCCATGAAAATAAATAGCTTTGAATGCTGACATGGCACTAAAACGATCTGAATCTGCTTGTCTGAAATTCTACTAGTGTCGTTTGTTTTAGAATAATAAGGTTTACATAAATACTTCAAATTTGGTTTATTTGACCTGTTTTTAATTGTCATGCTCTTGTTTTGCTCCTCTAGAGCATTCTGGTCCCACGAAGGTGGTGAAGGCCGGGAACACGCGAGCGAGGCGCGGAGGAAAGGTGAGTGGCGTTCTCTGAGTGCTCTTCTGGAGCAGGACTGGTTCACACACACTGGTTTACTGGTTTGCAGCATTACATTTATTGAAGACAATGCCTTGTAAAGACTGAAGGTCCGCTCAGGCCGAGAGCGGCGACTGTACCAGCATCCACACCGGCGCACGCTATCGGTTTACCGCCTGACGCTTTAAATGCTAAGCTCTTAAAAGTTGGAAGGATTCTGATTGGCTGTCAATGTGTTTATCGTTCATCAGCTGGGAAAAAATACTTCTGCAAGTGATTCCAGCGATATGTGGCGTTAGTTGTGGTGTGGAATCTGCTGTTCTCTTACATTGAGAGTGATTTTAACAGCTATATTGCTGTCATCCTTGGCCTGAAGGCCTGTGTCTAGCGACCGGGGGGCAGGTGATCGTGGTCTGTGGATCAGCTTACCCCACAGCTCGACACACGTGATTCGCGGGTAGAGTGAAAGTTTATCATTTGGACGTGTTTTGTCTGGCCAATTTACACATTAAAACAACATTAATCGCGTAAGAAGAGGCTAAATCGTGACTCGCGCGTTCAGACAGCGCTCGAACACCGGATTGATTCCTATTGTTTGTGTTTTTGCCCTCAAACGGACACATGCACACTCAATACCCGTCTAAACACCGTCTCGGCAAGTATCCTCAGTTGTCATTAGGGATGGGAATTGATAAGACTTTAACGATTCCGATTCCATTATCAATATTGCTTATCGATTCTCATTGGCTGAGGGAAGAAGTACAGGGGTGTGATAAGGGTATTGGGGGTGTGAACCTACACTGGTTTCACACTTCGGTTCATTACGATTATCATGTCATCGATTCAGTTCAATTTGATGCATTATGATGCACTGCATCCTCAATTTTCAATTTTACTTCAAAAGTGATGTGTGCATGCGCGCGTGTGTGTGTGTGTGTTCGCCTGTTCGGGAAGTCACAGTGACAGAAATAGTGACATTCCAGTTTAAGTTTCATGGGACTAAAGTCTGTTTATGCCATTAAAAAAAAAAATTCTGTCAAATCAATTTTGTTGTAAAGAAATGTTCATTTAAAAGCAGCGGTCATTCATCAGTGTATAATGTTAACCTAGAGATGTGCGCATCAACCGTCGCCGAGAGTCCGCTGTTGAAGACGATCATCCATTTATAATCACGCGTAACAACACAGAATACTTGTAATTTGACCATCGGGTGCGAGAACATTATTAGGACGGGTGGATGATTTGTTTTTGGCTGCGGATTCGGGTGACGTTTCTCATCGAGTATTTGCGTAAGTTTGTGTGTGTGTGTGTGTGTGTGTGTGTGCGCTCGCGTCTCATATGAGCATGTGCGTGGAGTGTGTGTGTGCGCACGCGCGTCTCATGAGCATGTGCGTGGAGTGTGTGTGTGCGCACGCGCGTCTCATATGAGCATGTGCGTGGAGATTGTGTGTGCTCGCGTCTCATATGAGCATGTGCGTGGAGTGTGTGTGTGCGCACGCGCGTCTCATATGAGCATGTGCGTGGAGATTGTGTGTGCTCGCGTCTCATATGAGCATGTGCGTGGAGTGTGTGTGTGCTCGCGTCTCATATGAGCATGTGCGTGGAGATTGTGTGTGTGCTCGCGTCTCATATGAGCATGTGCCTGGAAACTCTCTGTGTATGTGCGTGAGCGACTTTAGGTGTGTCGTTGTGCATTTCATATATCCACAGCTGTCAGATTCTGTCAATATTTTTACGAGATTCACACAATAAATAACGTTTTGGCTCTTTGAAATGTGACAGATCGCTGTAGCGCGTCAGTTCAAACGGCACGTGATACAGCAGCCTACAAATCCACTGCTTCTTAGCTACGCAGCGTTGAGTGAACCTATGAAAGAGAACATCTCTGGTTACTGGTGTAACATATCTCTCAATAGGGGACGAGACGCTGCCAAGCTCCTCGCGCTGCCGACCAGCTTCCTTTTTCGGCAAAGAAATCTGAGGAGCAGATGGCGCGCGCGCGCTAACATAATATGCTGACGTAAGTGCGTCGAGGCGGCGCCCGCGCCATCAGCCAATGCATTGGCTTGATTCTATATGGGATTCAGACTATCGGCACACCCAGAGGGCGTTCTGACGCGTAATTTTACACGTGAAATGCAGCCAAACCTTGCGAGAAAGAGCGCGCATGCGAGACAGAAGAGACTGTGTGTGTGTGTGTGTGTGTGTGTGTGTGCGCCTAATTAAGTCAGGCACCGAAATCAGGCACCGAAATTGTCGTTCTTATTCGGTCTGGTTACTACCGTTTACGTCGGAACCGGTTCCCTATTGGCACCGAGTTTCGGTACCCAACCCTAGTCCTAAACATGACACAAGTCCAGTCGTTTAGATGACACAAGCTTATATTAAGCGCTTCAAAATAGATATACTGGCGCTGTTGCATGCGTTTGAGATGTGGAGCTTTCCTCAGTGCTTAACTTGCAGTTCACAGGTGTATTCTCCATCTGTAATGTTAGAATGTATTGTGATTTTTAACCACCTTTTTGCACATAATATATTGCATAGCCAACATTACATTCACTGTATTTGTTTCCATATCTTTCAATATCAACATTGTTTGTAGGATATCATTGGGCAGAATATGTGAACTTTTTTTTTTTTGAAAAAATAAATACAGATTTTCTTTATCCAAATAGAAAAACATAAAACGTACTGAGATTTAACAAAAAAGGTACCGCCATTTAACAAAAATATATATATTTTGGCCATATCGCCCAGCCCTTGTGTGTGTGTGTGTGTGAGCTGCTGTCAAACAGGCTTAACGCTCATATGTTTTTAAAGGTGGGGGATTTCGGAGACACGAACAACTGGCCGACGCCTGGAGAGATTGCAACGAAAGAAGTCCAGGTAAGAGCGCTACACATCTGACTGGAACCCAAGCGATGTGTTTCTCCATCTATAGCTGATCAGAGATCAGTCCTGACGAGCGTCTCTGAACTGACACGCCACTGACAGGGCTCGTGCAAGGGGATTGAATTTGACTTTTGGAAATGTAAGTCCTGGAAACCCCTTGACACAGCCATATTTATGAAGAACTGCTTAAAGGTGCTGGAGTTATTGAAAGACAATATATGTGAAATTTATTTTAAATTGTATTGATAAAACCATCTTTGCACACAGAATTAAAGCTGCAGTCCGTCTGATATAGAGGCTATGAGTGTGATATTGCTCATAAATATCCAAGTATATGATACAGCTTTCATTCTTCAGGCCTATCATATATTCATGTGTGAATCAGGAAAGCGATATCTGTGTCATAGTATCATTTGAAGTTTCCACAGTCATTGCATCTGCTGCACTTTATTTGTACCTTTTTTTATAGTTCATTTTTATCTATTTACCTTTTTTTAGAATTTAAAAGATAATCAAGAAAGATATTGTTTGATAAATTAGATCTCTGATTGTAGTCCTTGGAAAAAAACACAAAAAAAATAGTGCTTAAAGTCCTTTGATTTTACAGTATCTGTACAAACCCTGAAGTTAGCGCTTGTTTTACAACATGTGCAAAATATTGTCTTTAGGGTGAAGAGTTAGATTCATCATTACAATCGGCTTATAAATCGGTTTCCTTTTGACAAGTTAGTGAAAATACCACAATATGATTGTGTTTGTCTCTTGATGAACATGTCAGGTTGTGAAGAAGTCAGCGGTGAAGCGAGAGTCCAAGGGAAAGAGGGAAAATGAAGAGAGCAAAGAAAACCTCAAAGCCAAGTCTGACGACTCTGGAGAAGAGAAAAACACGGACGAGGAGTCGCAGAAAAACGGACACAAAAAGAGAGGTGTTTAACGCAGATCCTTTACTGGAGAGTGAAGAAGTGAACGCTCATGTTGTGTCTCGTATCGGTTTTAAAGCATTAGTTCACAGAATTAACATTTCCTGATAATTTACTCACACACACGTCATCCAAGATGTTCATGTCTTTCTTCAGTGGAAAAGAAATGAAGGTTTTTGAGGAACACACTCCAGGGTTTCTCCATATAGTGACTTCAATGGGGTCCAACGGGTCGAAGGTCCAGATGTGAGTTTCAGTGCAGCTTCAAAGTCTCGACACGATCCAGCCGAGGAATAAGAGTCTGATCTAGACAAACCAGCCGACATTTATAACAAAATACACACTTATATACTTTTATCCACTAATGCTGGTCTTGCTCTAGCTGTGATGCGACACACATTACGTGATCAGGGTGAAAGGTCACGCGTGACGTTTACAAAGCGAACGAGTAAAACATTTTTACTTAAGTAAAAGCTAAAACAAAGATGTCGGGTAATTTTTTTTTTTTTTTTTTTTTTTTTTTTTTTTTTTTTTTTTTTGAAGTTGGAGAAAATGAGAATGAGGAACACGCTTGACCTTTCACCCTGATTGCGTAATGTGTGTCGCATCACAGCTTGAGCAAGACCAGCATTAGTGGATAAAAGTATATAAGTGTGTATTTTGTTATAAATGTCGGCTGGTTTGTCTAGATCAGACTCTTATTCCTCGGCTGGATCGTGTCGAGACTTTGAAGCTGCACTGAAACTCACATCTGGACCTTCGACCCGTTGGACCCCATTGAAGTCACTATATGGAGAAACCCTGGAGTGTGTTCCTCAAAAACCTTCATTTCTTTTCCACCGAAGAAAGAAAGACATGAACATCTTGGATGACGTGAGGGAGAGTAGATTATCAGGAGATTTTATTTTTGAAGTGAACTACTCCTTTAAGATGTGTTATGAAACGAATGTGTGTAAAAGCTAATGGTGGTGGTGATGTTGCAGGAAATAAGCACAAGTGGGTTCCTCTGATGATCGAGGTGAAGTCTGAGGGTCCGCGCGAGCGCTCGGCCTCCAGGAACAACACGCGCCAGTTTGATCACCGGATCCCTCCGGGCGGCAGGAACGACCTGAGAGGTATTCGCTCGCTTCTGCTTCAGTGCGGCGTTTCCCTTCATGCACTGCTCTACACCCTGGCCATCTGATGCAGTGCGACACCATTACACGTGATCAAACACACCTTCATCTGTCTGATCATCTCCATTAGCGGAAACGTGTGCGTATTACTGCATATAATACAAGACAAACAACACATGAAGATTGAAAAATATATTTGCAATTCAATCATGTTTCACACTTGTTTGATCCTGTCTGCTTACATTAAAGTCCAATCGTGCAGTCCGGTTCAAGCTCCGCCCCTGCAAGCCGGCGCTCATCTGCATACACTTTTGGGAGCCACGCCCACATCTCAACATCCAAACCCTTCCCTACATTTATTATTTTCTGCTGATCTGTTACATTCAGATCTACGTCACAATGTGGAAGAGATCTAATGCCACTTCCTTTTCATTGCAGCTTTAATTTCACATTGAATGATAGTTTTGCAACTGCATAGCAACCAGCCTGACTACCTTAGGAACCGCATAGCAACACCCTAGCAACCACTTAGCAACCAGTCAGAGTAGCCTATTAGACTCATTTTATCTATCTATCTATCTATCTATCTATCTATCTATCTAATATTTCTAATATCCCTCTCTATCTGGCTTTTAACTACTAAAAAAGTAGACTAAAAACTTCAAACTACTAAACTTAAACAGAAAACCTTCAAGCTTTTAAAACTATTTAAAACTTTCTGGCTAGGCTTTTTCAAGCCAACTTGGTTTGTCTACAAACTTATTTTATCTTGTATGATATGCATGCCCACTATCTATATGCACACTAGTGTCTACTGTACTTCCAGCTTTGGAGATACTGTACTGTACCCTAACTGGGGCATTTGAAAGAGAAACAGTCTTCAAAGAATAGGACATAGGGATGATCACTACATAATCGAACTACCTGCTCCCAGACCTGAACCTCTGACGTCACTGGTGGCAGGCTCACCAACAGCTCTTTTGATGTGTGTGTGTGTGTGTGTGTGTGCAGATTGGCACAGTGGGAAGTACGATCAGGAGTTGAGGGATGACCATGACGAGGTGTCGAGTGTGAAGAGCGAGGGAGCGCCGTACAGAGCCGGGGCCCGGGGCCGAGGCCGGGGTCGGGGCCGAGGAAGAGGACGAGGAAGAGGCCGAGGTAATGAACTCCACTAGTGACCTTCGTCTGCCATTGATTGAGCAAACAGTGAGTCCAGGCTCAGTCACGCGCTCAGAAGAGTACAGCACTCGCAGGACAGCCGTGAGCATGAGGAGGGCGGGGTCCTTTGAGCTGTAATGATTCTGCTTATACATTCATACTTTCAATTCCAATAAGGTAAAAAACCTTGGATATCATTCAGATTTAGTCTTCTTGCAAAATATTTAATTGTAGCTAAATATCATGAGCAGAAATCATCAGCTGAAGAACACTTAAGCCCCGTTCACACCGCCAGCGATTTTGTCGCTACATGTCGCTTGTCTCTGTACTGTGAAGTCGCTTGTGGGCGTTCGTAGTGCTGTCGCTCTAATGTTATTGGTAGACTGCACGTCTGGCCATATATCTACACAAAATACCATCAGAAGTGACATATACAACTATATCATTTTAATTTGACTAGGAATTAGGCTCAAAAGAAACAGTATGCTGTTGGGAGAGTGTTTTTATATTACCACAGCAGTGTTCAGTGGATTAAATCATTTACTAGATTAACAATCGATCAATCAACAAATTAAACTCACTCATTCTGTCATAAATTACTAAAACGTCATTCGAATTTGACAAATAATCAATTTTCTTGTCCCTAATAGTCAACATAATGCAGGGAAACTGTAAAATGATCTGCTGCAGTGCTAAACTTGCATCATAAAATTACAACACTCGACCTAAAAATGTATATGAATTAAACTCACTGAGACTGTCGACAGTTTCTTTTCCATTCGTCATTTTATTATATCCATGTATGTGGTTACAGTCAAATCATATAAAACAGTGAAATCTCCCTCGAACTCCTCTGTCTTGCCTGCACTCGAGACGGTGACGTGAGCTCCACTGAAAGTCTTCTTTCCTATTGGTTGTCGCTCGCGAAAATCGCTTCTCATTTGCATAAAGTTGAAATTTCTCAACTTTTGTCGCTTGACACGCCCACATTCTGTCGCCAACGGTCACTGTCGCTCGTGTCGCCAGCGCTCCATTGAAATGAATGGGATCGTGTCGCTTTGTCGCTGCATGTCGCTGGCGGTGTGAACGGGGCTTTACACAAGCAGCGTTTGCCTGAGGTTTAAAACACCATAGAACAACAACTAGCTGAACTAATCAAGCATTATTAAAGACAAGTAAACACTCGGTGATTAAGAAAAGAACAAATAAAAAATGAGCAATTGCAACAAATAGACACAACTGAACAAAGATACGATTGAAATAAACAGTTTTAAGATTTTCAGGTTCAGAAACTGATCAAATGTAAAATAACACTGCAGTTTATAAATAAAATATACATTACCAATATAGTTACAAATGTTATTCAGTCAAGAACGAGTGACTTTTCTGTCTTCTGTTGTGTGATTAGTGTTATTATAGAGACGGCAGGAGTCTCTCGCTTGACTGGTTTATAGTCATATTGAAATGCTCACAAAGGAATCAATAAGAGGAATCGAAATTTTAATCTTATAACAAAATATTCAATTCCAGAATTGGAATCTATTTTCGATTTCCAACCATAATCATGATTTTAGGGGTCGACCAGTATGGGTTTTTTTTTATTGGCGATGCTGATATCTTTGAGAGCAGGGAGACATATTATATTATATTACATTATTTCATTTAAAAAGAAAATAACCTGCAATCAATTGCTGAAATTAAATTTATATTAATCTTACTACATATATTTACTAAAATAGAAACAAGTAAATGGGAAAATAAATGTGAAAAAATTAGAAATGTTGTTACAGTGCTATTTTAAAGGTTCCTAATGTTGTTTTGGCGTCTCGTACGACAGGTTAACATTTACATTACATTTACATTTATTCATTTAGCTGACGCTTTTATCCAAAGCGACTTACAATTGCTATATATGTCAGAGGTCGCATGCCTCTGGAGCAACTAGGGGTTAAGTGTCTTGCTCAGGGACACATTGGTGTCTCGCAGTGGATTCGAACCCGGGTCTCTCACACCAAAGGCATGTGTCTTATCCACTGCGCCATCACCACCACATAACATTCATCAAACGTCAAAAAAACACTTTAATGTCCTCATAATCTCCACTGCAGCTTCAGCTCTTTCTGTGTCTGAAACGGTTTGATAAAGATTCAGTCTCTAAGCCCCGCCTCTCTGAGAGCTGCTCTGCTGTGATTGGTCAGAAACCAAATGCTCATTATCATATCTGAATCAGCTCTTGATCAGTGATACGAACAGTGACGATGGTGAGGGTTTTAC